ACACACTGACCTGACTGATTTTACTGACTGACACCACTGACTGACTGACTGACGACACTGCTGACTTGCACCTTGACTTTGACTGCCTGCACCTGGACTGACTGACTGGACTGACACACTGACTGACCTGACTGGACTGCTGACACACTGACTGCTGACTGACCACTGACTGGACTGCTGACTGACTGACACTGACTGACTGACTGACCTGACTGAGGACTGCTCACTGACACACTGACTTGACACACTGACTGACTGACTGGACTGGTGCTGACTGACTCACTGACACACTGACTGACCACACTGACTGACACCACTGAACTGACTGGACTGACTGATCTGGACACACTGACACAACTGACTCACACACTGACAAACTGACTGACACACTGCTGACACCACTGACCTGACTGACTGATGATGACTGGACTGACCACTGGACTGACTGACTGACTGACTGACTGACTGACTGCCACCTGACCTGCTTGACTGACACACTGATCTGCTGACTGCACACTGACTGACTGCTGACACACGGACTTGACTGATTGACTGACTTGACACCTGATGACTGACCACTGGACTGTGACACACTGAACTGAGACTGATTGTTGATGACAGATGATCACTAGTTGGATTGTCCCTGATGTTACAGCTGTGGAGCAGAGGCTGCTGCCGGGTGCCTGGAGGATTGCGTGTCGGCGCGACCGTGTGAGTCTGCAGCCGCGCTGTGCTGGAAGGTGATGCGTGTTACCTGGGTCAGTTCAGCTGTCTTGTCGGATGATCCTAAGGGACTTCCGTTTCCAATGGTGCCTCCTCGTCCAATCATTCCTGTTCTGAACCTCCCTGTCAGTTCAGTGTATGGTGGGAACCTTCTGACAATAACATAAGGGCTCAGGTAGCTAGTCACATTTTATTGACGGAGGTCCTCGACTTATCAGATCTATTCCTTCCTTGCTTTCTCGGTTACTTTTATAAAGGTGCACAAGACTGTATATAAATGTGCACTGAGGACTCGTTGTATAAAGGCGAGGATGCTCGTTTATATAAAGTGCACCTCTCGAGGGATCGTTTTAAGTGCACGAGGACAGTATTAAAGTGCAACCGAGACTCGTTATAAAGTGCACGCAGGACTCGTTATAAAGTGCACGGACGGACTCGTATATTTGGGATGCTGACACATCATAAACACGATAGTCACACGTTACTGAGGTTTCCCTACTGTGGGATGTGGATAATTAGATCGTAGGACCTCTGCTACAGGGACCGATCCACTCTGCTCATTGCATCGTTGCATTTTCTTTCTTGTTTCGTTTGAGCTATGGCTAAACTTATTGGCATAAGGTAGGTAACTTTGTCGTGTTTTCATGTTTTCGCTCATCGGTACTGGCGTCCGTCCTCAGTCGTCTGCTGCGTCTACCTGAAGTCAGCGCTGGCTGGGTGGTTCATCCTGGTTGAGGTGTGAGGAGGATACCCGAACTGTGGACTTCGAGCGACGACTGCTGTCTGTACGCGAGGGACTGGACAATCATGTGGGAGCACATCTGGACTCAAGGTAACACACACACAATCACAGAGACACTACAGCACACTATCACACAGAGACACACACAAGCACATCACAGACACAACAGAGACACTCACATCACAACAAGACACACAGAGATCACCATCACACACACCAGAGACAAATCATCACCCACATCAGAGATGACACACTAGAGACACACACACTTATAATAGTTAGGGTTGCAGACGGAAATTAAATAACTCGATGTTAAAGTTATAAAGTTACCTCAAAATTCAATAAACTACATCTTGTCTCCTCTCTCTTCTCTCTCTCTTCTCTCTTCTTCCTCTCTCTTTCTTCATCTCTCTCTCTCTCTCCCTTGTCTCTCTCCTTCTCTCTCTCTCCTCCTGTCTCTCTCTCTCTCTCTTCCCTGTATCTCCTCTCTTTTTTCCCTCTGTTCTTTTCTCTCTCTCTCTTCTCTCTCTTCCTCCCTCTCCTAATATCCCTCTCTCTTCTCCTCTCTCTTCCCTCCGTTCTCTTTCTCTCTCTCTCTCTCTCCATCCCTGCTCCCTCTCTCCCCTCCTCCTCTCTTTCTCTTCTCCCTGTCTCTCTCTCTTCTCCCTCTCCCTCTCGCCTCCCTCCCTGTTCTCCTCTCTCTCTCTTCTCTTCTCTCTCTCTCTTCTCTCTCTCTCCTTGCCTCTTCTCTCTCCCTTCTCCTCTCCCCTTCCTGTCTCCCTCTCTTCTCTTCTCCTCCTCTGTTCTCTCTCTCTCTCTTCTCCCTCTCTTCTCTTCTCTCTCTCTCTCTCCCTCTCTCCCTCCTGTCTCCTCTCTCCTTCTCTCTCTTCCTCCCCCTGTTTCCCTCTCTCCCTCTTTCCCTACTCTCTCCTCTCTCTCTCTCCCTGTCTCTCTCTCTCTCTCTCTCTCTCCCTCCCTGTCTCCCTCTTCTCTCTCTCTCTCTCTCCTCCCTGTCTCTCCTCTCTCCTCTCTCTCTCTCCCTTTCCTGTTCTCCTCCTCTCCTTCTCCCTTCTCTCTCTCTCTCCTCCCTCTCTCTCTCCTCTCCCTTCTCTCTCTCCCTCCTTTTCTCCTCTCTTCTCCCTCTCCCTCATTCTCTCTCCTCTCTTCTCTCTTCCCCTCTCTCCCTTCCCTTCCTCCCTCCCTGTCTCTCTCTCCCTCTCTGTCTCCCAGCCTCACAGACCCGACCCCGGACTGACAGACTGGTTGGTGTTTCTGTGCAGCTGTCCTCTCCTGTGAGCGTCCTGTCTTACTGTCAGTTCCCTGTGTGTCCACTAGATGTCGCTGTCTCACTTTATATCTGACATTAGTCCACAGCTGTAAACTGTCTACAGTATTATATTATTGTTTGTTTACATGTAATCACTGTACAAAACATCCAAACCTAAAAACTAAACTAAACTTCTTACTTTATACTATAAAGTATAAAATCTGTGAATGAAATAAAAGATTCTTACAGCCTTGTTGAGGCTTTTATTTTGTAAGGCTGTCCCTGTGGCCTCCCAGCATGCACTGCTGCACACTGTGATATAACACACATTCACATGTGCCGAGGTAACAAAGTTCCTCTACTGATACAGATACTCAACTACTGCTGCAAAGTAACTGAGTACACTTACTGGAGTACGGCTTTACTCTGAGTATTTCTACTTTTACTGCAGTATCGATTGATTACATGGAGCACTCACTGACTCTCAGGTGTATTTAGTTACTGTAACAGGAAGTGAGGCACTGAAACTGGACACTGCTCGTGGTTCCGCCTGCTGGCTCCTCATTGGTCGGTGTGGATGCTGAGCTTCGACCAATCAGAGAGCAGAGTGTAAAGTCTCCAGTTTGACCCAGTTCTGCTCAGTGTGAAAAAGTGTCAAAGAAACATCATTTATATAATCAGATATTCTTTTATTATCATTATTATTATTATGATCTTCTGCTGCTCTGATCAATAGAAACTGAATCTGTTAATTGATGAAAAGAATCAGTGAAAAACAGAAAAGAGGTTTATGATCATATCTAATCACATTAATAATGATTATTGATCGGCTGTATTTGGCCTGAATAAAGACAGAGGAGGCGTTGAGGACTCTGATGTGTATAGTTATATTTCTATATAATGTCTTTACAACATAAAACACAGATTAAAGTACAAACATCAGAATATCTCCATTAATGATTTCATACAGTTTCAAACCTCATTTTCACTTTTATACAGTAATATTCATTTTAACAAAAAATATAATGTATAGTTTCTCCGTGTGTCCACAGTTCTTCACACAGTTCAAGCATTACTGGATATTGTTTTTATTTACAGTTTTATACACAAGATCAGCTGCATAATGTTTGTAACGTCTGATTGTACTTAAACACATCAGCCCTCCTCCTCCGTCTCATTGGACAGACGAGCTGTCCGTCACTGGCGTTCCGTCGCGCTATTGGCTGGTGCTGGAGGAACAAACAAAAACAAACATCCCCAGTTGAGCGATGAAGATCTCCTCGGTGTCAGCGGTGTTTGGAAGTTCTGGATGAAGAGTCCCACATTTAATAAATCCTCTTGTTCTCGCTGCCTGTTTCCACCGGGTGTTTGGCCTAGCTTAGCACAAAGAAGCTGTTAGCCAACTCCTTTAAAAGAGGAACAATCCTCAAAGTCAGTCTGATTTACATGTCGTATGTTATTTATGGTAAAAATCCCCCAAAACACCAAAACAGTTTCCCTGCTCGCAGTCTTTGTGCTAAGCTAGGCTAAATACTCTGAAGTTAACAAGCGTTCTTAAAATGTTGGACTGTTCCTTTAACTCGGCCCGTCGGGACGTAATCTGTAGACTGCAGACTCTTATTTTGGCGGTGAGCTGTGTGCTGACAGGTCTGTTGATGACATCATCACCGTGTCAGTCTTTACGATTCGATGACATCATGAATGATGATGACGTAATGAGCTGAGGTCATAGCAATGGAGAGCACCACATGATATATTGATCATCATCAGCGACCACAGGAAGTGACACTGATCTGAGTGAACGGAGAGCGCGGTGACGTCATCAGTGACATCATACGGTGAGGTCATCAGACGCCGTCGATGCGGAAGGACAGCAGCTTCTCAGAGTGCATGTTGTTGAGCGTTCGCAGGTCGGGCAGCTTCAGCAGCAGCTTGGTGAAGCGCGGCGAGTCCACGTTGTGGTGGTTGTTGCCGGGGGCGACCAGCGAGCGCAGAGCTCTGATCAGGTTCTCCTGCAGCTGCTCCACGGACGCCACGTTCTCGATACCAGAGCGGTCTGAGGAGGAAGAGAGGAACAGAGTTATAATATAATATAATAAGCAGAAGAAGAAGTGTTAGAGCACAGGCTTATATTAGAGACTGACCGCTATTCTAACGGTCCCTTCGTAAGCTCCGCCCCTTTTCTTCTGTGCTCCAATAACAATTGAGCAAACCTCTGTTGGAACAACAGCCACATTCTGAAGATGATTAAAGATAAAAGAGACAAATATAGTCTCATCTGAAGTTAGCTAATGTACATAGATGTTTAATGTTTGGCTAACATTAAGTTAAGCTGTAAATATGAAGCTTTTGACTTTAAACCATCTTCAGAAGGATCAGAGTCCTGGTTGGAGCCGCTGTCCTGTAACTCAGGGCGCCATAATGCCAAAAATACCAATTCTTGTTAATAATGTTGCTTTAACAGACCGCTGTTTAAGCAACCAACTGAAAACCACTCAGCCTTCCAAGCAGGTAGGAGAACTTATTGTGGGCGGGTCTTAACGACTGACCCCCCCCCACCCCCCCCCACTCCTCACC